CTCCACAACATACTACATCATATAATCATTATTTTTCTCTGTAGAACCTTAAAATATCCAAACATCACCATCATCAACAATGCAGATAGGGTCGCAGGAGCAGGTGGGAGGGCAGAGAATCCCAGACGACCCTGTCCCCCGCAACCTCCTCCAGGCCAAATTGGAGATGTAATCCCTACAGCGGGTCCTAGGATGACCCCGGGGTCTCATCCCAGTAGGCCGTGGCCAGTAAACCCCCACCGGGTTTAATCCAGGGGGCATCCTGATCAGATGACCGAACCACCTAAACTGGCTCCTCTCAATGCGGAGGAGTAGCGGCTCTACTCTGAGCTCCTCCCAGATGGCCGAGCTCCTCACCCTATCAAATAGAGTGTAGCTGCCACCCTGTGAAGAAAGCTCATTTCCGCCGCTTGTATTCTCGATCTCATTCTTTTGGTCATTACCCACAGCTCATGACCATAGGTGAGGGTTGGGATGTAGTCGGGATGTCGCCTTATGGCTCAGCTCCCTCTTCACCACTACAGTCCGGTACAGTGACTGCATTACTGCTGCCGCCTGACCCAGCCTGCGACCGATCTCACGATCCCTCTTCCCATCACTCGTGAACAAAACCCTGAGATACTTAAACTCCTCCACCTGGGGCAGGCCTTGCCTGGAGTGGGCATGCCATCCTTTTCTGGGTGGGCACCATGGACTCAGACTCGGAAGTGCTGATCCGCATAACAACTGCTTCCCACTCAGCTGCAAACTGCTCCAGTGCGCGCTGGAGGCATGCATGCGATCCAGCCAAAAGGACGACATTATTTGCAAATAGCAGAGACGCCACCCTCCGGCCTCCACACATAATGCCCTCCTGACCTCGGCTACGCCGACACCCTATCCATGAATATCACGAACAGGAGTGAAGACAAGGCACAATCTTGGCAGAGTCCAACACTAACACTGTATGAGCTTGACTTAATGCAGAGTATACGAACACAACTCTCATTGGAGGACCTCCCACAAGATATTTCAAGGAACACAGTCGTAAGCCTTCTCCAAGTTTACGAAACACATGTAAACTGAGTTGGCAAACTCCTATGCCCCCTCGACAATCTGCGAGAGGGTGAGAAGCTACCTTCTCCGGAATATGACAAAAGCTCTCCTGAAGGTGGGAGTTAAAATCATTCCGAACAGGGGCCTCTGACAGTCGTTCCCAGCACACCCTAACTATTCGCTTGGGCCTAATGGGTCTCACCATCAGTCTTCCCTACCATCTGATCCAACTCACCACCAGATGGTGATCGGTTGACAGCTCAGCACTTCTCTTCACCCAAGTGTCCAGAACATATGGTCCCAATTCAGATGTAATGACAACAAAGTCGGTCATTGACTTTTGACCCAAGGAGCTCTGGTACCAGACAGTCCATAACTAGGACACAAGTCAAAAAACAAGTCCAAAAACAATTCACATTCAAGTTTAGATCGGGCAGGCTGTTCTTCCCAATCACCTCCCTCCAGGTCTCCCAGTCATTGCCAACATGAGCACTGAAGTCTCCCAGCAAGACTATGGAGTCTGTAGGCTGGGCCCTTTCCAGAAGCCTGCCCACTCGCTCCAAGAAGGCCGAATACTCAGAACTGTTGTTGTTATCCAAATAATTTATTTCAAATCATACATTATACATTAAAGTGCACTAAGGCCCCTAAAATCACTCCATACCCCAGTGTAACTTTTAGGATTTTAGGAAACACCAGCCTGTATTGACAAAAATAACACTGCCATTCTGAGTAACATTGCTGTGTTTGAGTGATGAATAAATGAAAAATGAATCACATTCAGTTTTAAAGCTTCAACATTCACATTCATGATTATACATATTTAACAGCTGATCTTATCCAGAATGCTGTGCTTTACTGTTTACTTAAAACAAATCTTTAAGCTAGTGTTCACAGGCCAGTAATCAAAGATGGAAATTACTCACATTTTCCAACCCTATTAAGAACTATAGAGCCAATGTGAATCCAATACAGTATCATAACTGATTCATTTTGGCCCAAGAACAAATCAGATATTCTGTAAATGCTGCTTTGTCCTGTACATCATTAGGTGGTGCCCCTCACCCCCCCCATGTCCTGGACACACCACTGAATTGTATGTCTTTGAGAAAGAAAGTGGGTGGGAGGAGAAATATTTTTTTTAAACCAATCAGCTGTACTGTTTACTGTATCTGTTAAAGTGCTGTGATTGAACCGTTACTGCTTTTGTTTTTGAACATGTTCACTCGTCCAGAACTGACCAGAAACTGAGCCGAGTGTTACCTGCAGTGTTTGTGGTACTGAAGCACTGTTTGTGTATTATTTATAAAATTAATAAATTTCATGACTCTGTGAGAGCAGTATACAGTGTTTAATCCAGATTGAGATGATCAGTATTAGTTATTGATTACTGAAAGCCACACTGCTATAATAAGAGTCCTGATGAAATGCACCCTGACCCACAGTACAGTTTAAACCTGTATCTTACAGTCTGTTCCAGATCATCACACTGTACTGACTTTCCTTTAACACTGTGACTGGTTCTGCTTTTTCAGTCCAGCAGGTGACGCTGCTATACAAGCTCATGTGTCAGAACTAGAGGTGAAACGATATTAAAATTTCATATCATGATTATCATGACCAAAATTATCAAGATTATCGGTATTATCGCGATATTGTTCAAATGTGTTGAAAAGTAAAATAAATTAAAAAAATAAATACTGATACACAAACTGAAAATCGTTTCACCAACGTTTATATTAACACAAATAGAATTGGCAGCAATATGCACTTTTTGTTTGCATAAACATTAAAAAATAAGGTCAATACATTTTTAGTATTACTTTTGTATTACAATACTTGTAATACTCTGTAAACAAAATAATAGCAAATGTACTATTATTACTGTTGTTATTATTACTGTTATTACTATTATTATTATTATTGTTATTATTATTATTACTGTTATAATAATAATAATAATTATTATTATTATTATTATTATTATTATTAAGTACAATAACTATGGATTTCCCTGCGTAGAGTATTAAATCTGGACCAACTCTGAGGTGGGTCTTAATGGAAAATGACTACTTCTAAGAAGTGCTGCACTCGGGGGGGATTTCTGTCCGAGCTGCAGCTGCAGCATTATTGTGCCGTTGTGGCGCTGAACCCCTAATCAACACAGCGCACCAGGAAAAACAGCCACAATCACAGAGGAACTGCGTGACGCGCTGTGAGCTGCAGACAGTGTAGAACTCATACAGCGTGAGTTCACCTGTGGAGCTGCTTCTCTAAAAGCGTTTTAAAACTAAAACATAACTTAAAATGAACGCGCATCTGAGCTGCGGCAGAAACACTCCTACAGTTTAATCTCTGAAACACAGCGTTTACTCGCGCGAGGTCCCGTCTCAAAGCACACTTCTTCCCTATCTAGTGCACTTCGTGGATCATGAAATAGCAAATCCTTCACCCAAAGAGTGCAGGAAACGTTCGACTAAGTCATCTATAATCAACATTAACAAGAGGTTACAGATTCCCTATTTAAAGCTCAGCTGCTGGTTAATGATGATCGTGTTTGTTTGAACTGTAGCGCCCTCTGTAGGGGACACTGAGTGATTTGAGACGGTGTTATTCTCCTCTCAGACAGTAAACACTGCAAGCGAGACGAGAAAGGGGAGCTGCGCAGATTGAACCTCTGCAGCGTCTCGTTAACTCAGCTCATTTTGGAGACTCTGCTCCACAGAAATGTGTTAAAAGCTTTAGTTTCGATTCACAGCTGATTCACCGATTGTTTTTCTTTTGACGCTAAAAGCTTCATTTTATATTATTAACGAACCATAAGCACAAGTTAAACCACACAAACGCGAAGATGACTCGTAAGGTTTGATGTGTTGCCCCCTTTCGCCGCTGTTTTCTTTAGGCCTGTTCTGCAGACAGGGTGGTCATCTGCAGACAGGGTGGTCATCTTCAATTAACTTTCCTTCTGCATCCTTATAAAACCAAAAACATGACCAAACGTCAGACTTTCTCCGAATCTCCGAGTTTTTCACACCGCGGTAATCGACCGCGGTTTTAACGATACATTTAAAGTTCAAACGGTACTACTAACCGTCATTAATTTTACCGCGGTTTACCGTGAAACCGGTAACCGTTTCATCTCTAGTCAGAACATCTAAAAGAAACTGGAGGACTGGCCCTGATGCTCTGTGGAGCTTCTTCCAGATGGGAGGGGTGTAAACAGTCCATGTGACTTATTCATTCACACTAAGCCTCACTGTCATACTGGTTATCTCTAGTTATATAAAGCAAGTTATAATATTGTAGAGCCTCATGTAGTGCACTCTGTTAGCTAACATCTCTGAAGAACTTCAGGCTGTTTTCAAACCAAGCTCATTTCCTAATGTCTAAACCACAGTTTGGGTTTTTGTGATCTTGTATCTTTTTCATTTGGTTCAGGTTTTTTCATACTGCAGTGACTGAAGTGGACCAAATTAGACATGCAGAGGGTCACAAGTTTTGCAGGGATGGATGCGCTCTATTCTGACATGTTCCACCATGAAAGCATAAAATAAAGACTTATTTTTTATGTGTCAATTTTTGATGTGTTTGTGTTTTATGTGTCAATTGCAATCATAGCAATAATAATAAACCTTACTTGATATCTGCTTCTTTATGATTGGTTTACTGGTTTAGATTTAACCAATCGGGTCCCTGATGACTGGCCAAAAATACAAAAATAAGAATAGATTGTTGTGCCAAAATCAAAATTAAACGCATCTCTTTGCTATTTTTATTGCTGCACCTTTATTAACAGCAGCTCGTGCTGCAGGAACTATATGACAGTCTGTAAAGAGTACAACCAGCAGAGCTGTGAGAGCTTACAGCAGTACAGAGCTGAGAAAGCAACACCCCCCCAGGTGTGTGATCTGGGACAGCCCCCAGTTTAAGCACTCCCACATCATTACTCACATAAGAACTGTAATTTAATAATGTGCTTCAGGTGTGTTTCTCCTTCTCTGCGAAGTCTGAGACCCTCTGTGTGGAGAGTATTATACTACAGTCCAGTGTGGGGAATCAGCCACAGCAGCACAGTGAGTAAACAGAGACTGTTGTAGCTTCATAGACTTAAAATAACTACTGAGCTGTGATCAGAGGGGGCGCCTGGCCTCGCCTCGTCTGGAGTTCCGGGGCTTCAGCCTCAATATTTTAATATTTTTAAGCAGCTCTGAACCTGTGAAATAATTCTTTCAGGGTTAGATGTATGGCAGGTGGTCTTTGGGGAGGGAGTCCCAGTAGAAAGCCTGACTATGTGATGAACTCATGTTGTAGTTTTGGGAGGTTTACCCCTGTAGTGTGTTCAGTAGCATAACGAGGCAGGAGTCAGTAGTGTAATTACTGGAATGCGAGGGGAGGCAAGTGCTCTGGGGCCGAATGACAGGACCCCTCATATAGACATAATTGTACACCAGTGACTCTCAAACAGATCCAGTACCTCAGTTCCTTTTTATTCAGCATTTTTCAGTAGGGGGCTCATTGATCCTAGTTGATCCACTGGCAGGAGCCCCCTTTTTTTGCTAGCTGCTAATTTGTTCTTATGAATGACATGTTTGGTGATGAGAATACAGAAGTATCAGTAGAGCGAGTAAAGAAGTGCTCCTGAATACAGTCTGTACTGTACAGTTTTAACAGAGTGAGTGGGCGTAGATTTCAGAGTGAGACGAGTTTATTCATGTATCTTCAAAGAGGACAAACCTTTTACATTCATAAAGCGGATGTGGTTTATAACTTTTTTACTGATTCACAGAACAAAACAGTCACACCCAGAAAATACAACAGAACTGAATTAGCAATTAACTTACTAGGAATACAGTATTTACATTTTTTTCAGAGTGCTCCAATGAAATATTGTTTTTGGTAAATGGTATATTTTTATTTGTCCACCAAACTAACTCCATGCAGGAGGAGTTCTGCCATAGCATGCATTTAAATATATTTTAAATAAATGCACTAAACTTGAAAGCAGTGCATTAAGAACAGACAAACTCTCCAGCAGGTACAGAAACATCATGTACAAATATGACATGAACTTGGTAAATTAAGATCATTTCCAAATAAATCAAGAGAAATGTACATGTTTTAAACCGCTTGTAGATAAATTAGGATCTGTGCTGCTGGGGTCTGTACGAGTTGTAGAGGATGGACTGTTTTCTCCAATAAGAAGATCATTACAGTGATCAACTCTGCTAAACAAATGCAGCAACAAGTCTCTCTGCATTGCTCTGAGACAGAAAAGGCTGAACTTTAGTGATTTTTCTCAAATGATAAAAAGCTACTTTATTGTCTGTGTTTACATGCAGATAAAACAGAGCTCAGAGTCTAAGATCAAACCCAGGTTTCCTATATCAGGTTTGGTATATGAAGCTAAAGAACCAAGTTTCTCATAAATCATTTTTCTCTGAGTTTCTTTTACCAATGATCAATATGTCAGTTTTTTCATGATTTAATTGTAGAACATTTTGTGACATCCACTGAGAAACATCTGACACACAGCTGATTAGTCTGTCTACAGAGTCTTGATCTTCAGAAGGAATAGAAATGTATAACTGGGTGTCGTCAGCATAGCTATGAAAATTTTACTATGTTTTCTAATGACATTACCTAGAGGTAGCATGTACAAAGAGAAAAGCAAAGGCCCTAAAACTGAACCTTGTGGGACTCTACAAATTTTTTTTTGATGAATGATTTCCCAGTGAAACATATTTAAATATGGTTTAAACCATTCTAAAACTGTGCCCAAGAGGTCGACCCAGCATTCAACATGAGGGATTAGAATCTTGTGATCAACGATATCAAAAGCTGGAATAAGATCCAATAAGACCAGAATAGAAGGACTTTGAGCACTGAGCCTCATTAAGAACCTGAGCCAATGCTGTCTCAGTACTGTAGTACTGTAATAGTGATATTAGATCTGCATTTAATTGCTTTCCTTAAAAAAAGTAAGGTTTGAAATTGGTCTGATTATATTTAGCACAGTTTATAATAATGAAAACATCATTTTGAACACAATCAAAATAGATAAGGATGTCGGAACTGATGTAGGTGGCTTATCAGGAACTTGAGCTCTGCTCTGTCTCCTCAAGGCTGTTTTATTTTGAAAATGAATTGCAGAATTGCAGATTATAGAAGATAAATTACCATGAGACACATTAGCTGAGAACTTGTAGGAGATCTGCTCTCAGTTTAGTTTTCCTCCATACATGCTCTGATTGACGACAGTTTCTCTTGAGCTGGCTGCAGGTGAAAGTGTACAGGTCATTTGGAAGGCACATAATTACATTTTAATTTTAAAAAATTGCTAAAAAACAGCATTAGGTGATAAAATACCTGATTGAGTTGAAGCTGCCTCTAAATCTTCTAAGTATTAATAACATCTGCAAAATCATCAAGATATCATTCAGATAAAGTTCAAAAAGAACCGTAGATGATCAAGTAATGGACTGGTGATATAACATTACATTATACAGCTCAGCATAAAAGACAAAAAAGACACATTTTGAATTTGAACTGGTTAAATTGGTTATTAAGTTTAATCAGCTCAGTACCTGAGAACAGCAAAAACAAAAAACAAAGACAAAATGAAACCAATAGTTTAAAAAGAAGTGCTCTCGCCTCACAGCAGCAAGAAGGGCAGGGTTTGATTCCCCGCCTGGGTGACCAGGGTACTTCCTGTGTGGAGTTTGCATGTTCTCCCCGTGTCTGAGTGAGTTTCCTTCCACAGTCCAAAGACAGGCGGTCAGGTGAACTGGAGATACTAAATTGCCTCTAGGTGTATGTGTGAGTGCATAGGTCTGTGTGTCTGCTCTGTGATGGACTGGCGATCTGTCCAAGGCGTTTCCGACTCTCCACCCAATGAGCACCAGCTCCCCCCACAACCCAGGAGGAGCTATTAAGAAATTAGGCCAAGAAAGAAATTAAGCCACAAAAACTAAAAAAACCTAGCGAACTAGGATTTAGCTAGCTAACTACTGTCTTGTTCATTCCTATATACTGTAAAAATCATCAGACATTACAGTTTTACGCTGGAACTCCTAAATTATGAACCACAATCTCTTCAGCCCTGCTATTCTGTTCACTAACACTCAGATTAAAACCTTCCTCTTTTCTCAAAGCTCCAGCTCATTCTCTTATTCTGTCTCCACTAGTTGCTGCTGATATGGTTTTGTTTATATTTTATTCTATTTAAATATGTATTTGATTGTGATGCTTCTGTAAAGCTTCTGCACAGCACTGTGTACAATGAAGTAAATATAAACTGAAACTAAAGTCAAATGCAACATATAAATTGTATTTATAAGTTAATCAAATGTACACCTAAATATTTCTTTCACAAGTTCTTTCTTTATACTTGAGTCCATTGTATGGTAAAAGTGCATTAAACCAAGTTAAGCTGCAGACGTGAAGCACTGGGGAAAGAAAGTTAATGTGCTGTATTTCCTGTTGATGTTGGCTGGTTATCTAACTATGTTAACTTACTAGTGATCACTTGGGTCGACGTAAGATCACGCTGTACCCGTACACACTCAGACAAAGTTCCATTTTTATGTTTTCATGGTTCTTTATTGTCTTCAAATGTGTAAATATTTGTTCTATGTTATTAGCATATTTGCTAATATTGTTAGTTACCTGGCTATATAGGTATTTTCAAGAATATTCAATATTCTGTGTAATAGATTATGTAGCGAGAGTAAAAACACAGCATTAGCCAGTGAGAGCTTACAGAAAGCTCGGTAAGGGAGAGGCCTGAGGAACAAGCAGAGGAACAAGCAGAGGAACAAGCAGAGGCAAGTACAGAATTTAGCGAGGGCGGGGCTGAGCAGTTTCAAAGCGCAGTGTGTGCAAACACTTCTGGAAGAGTTCATATGAGGATTTTCATCATTATAGTAGAGTTCGTTTCAGTCCTGTCTAAAATCACAGTCACGTGATAGATGATGAACCTTCATGTCCATCATCTGCTCAGCGCTGTGGAGACACAAGGTAATACAAACAATACAGAACAAATCCAGATGTTTAGAACCAAAAGATATTACAATGTACAAAATCTCTGGATTTGTGACCTGAGGTGCCCCCTGTTGTTTCTATTGTCTTTCCTGTCTTGAGCCTATATTCTCGTTCTATAGACTGTTTTTCAGCCTTACCTTTAGATAATAAACTCTTTTGCTGCATGTATTGAAATTTATGACACTGACCATGTGGCTTCATGCTGGTGTGGGTGTTTACTGCATGTACTTGCACTCGAAGATACGGAAAACCACTACTTAAGTGCTAACATTGCCCTCTTGAGGGGAATCTGAGAAATTCTCAATACATTTCTCAAAATGAACATCAAAGAACAAACATACTGCTTGTTTTTTTACACTTAAAATGATAATTTCTTCAATTTACAGAGGTTTAAACTTTTTAGAAGTATGTATCTCAGTGCTAAAACAGTTTTGTGCTTTATCACTTGCAACATTTATAGCACCAGTGCTACATGCTCAAACATTTATGTACAGCCCTGATTATAGAGGTTATTGTAATATTGTGGTATGCTGTATGCAGATTTTTTTCAGAGCTTTCTATTTTCCATTCCACTTTAAACTGTCCAGCACTTTAAAGGTGCCAGAATGTAACAGTTGCACCAATTATAAAAAAATAAGCTGGCAGAAAAGGAAGCCAACTTCAGCCTGTCTGTCCCACTGTGGTGTGTTTGTGACTCACAAAAGAAGTAATTTGGTCAGTGATCCAAACAGTGTTAGCCTTTTCCAGAGTACACTGTGGCTATGTAGCTATGATAAATCTGTTTTCTCTCTGTTCTTGGCGCGCTGTGAAAACATGTAGAAACACAGGGTGATGATATACTCCAAAAGACTGCTTCATGAATCCACTCTGATACTCCAGAAGCAGAGCCGTGCATAAACACTGTGTGATAATAGCACTAATTTAATATGCCTTTAGGTGTCATCTTTTGTCAATAAAACTAGACTCTCACAGCACATTGTCATAAATCATGATCTCCAGTGCTGTTAAATTTAATCTAACGTCACCAAAAGTTTTATTCAGGTTTAGCGTTTAGAGCTCATCAAAAAAGACACTATTTTGGGACTAAAGGGGAAGCACCCCCTTGTGATTTTAATAAGAATTCAAATTTACGGGGAATATTAAAGATTACATTATTTGGGGAAGCATATCATCACTGTCCAAAAAAAAAGCCTCTGCATTTTTATTAGATTTTTATTTTACAAAATGAAAGCCTTTACATTTATGTTCCTAATAAAAGGACCAATAGAAATGCTCCAAAATTGCTTGACATAAAATCTGTTTACATTGGCTTACATTGAACATAAATAATGTTTTCGTCTCCTCTGTAAAAATGCCACGTTGGAGATACTTGTATTGTGTTTTTTGTTTGTTTGTTTGCTTGTGACAGTGATGATATGGGAAGAGTCTCAAGGTCAGGATTGAGGGTTGTTAGTGATCTTCAGTCCAACTACTGAAAATGCTCCCAATTCACTTTCGGTTTCTTGTGACAGTCACTGTGGAAAATGACTGCAGTGAGTTATTGTGTTATTGTGACAGACATTATTATGGTGACAGGGCTCATATGCTTCTCTGCAGCAGTCTAACAGTCGCTTTTCACAATCCAGTCAAATCCTAATGGAATTCAAACAATGGCTACACTTATTCCACACCTGAATATCCCAGGACCCCCACAGAGCAGGTATTTTTTGGGGGGTGGGTCATTCTCAGCACTGTGGGCAGCGTCCTGTGACCACTGATGAAGGACTAGAGGATGGCCAACATAAACTGTGCAGCAGCAGATGAGCTATCGTCTCTGACTTTACAGCTACAAGGTGGACTGACAAGATAGGAGTGTCTAATAGAGTGGACAGTGAGCGGACACAGTGTTTAAAAACTCCAGCAGCACTGCTGTGTCTGATCCACTCATACCAGCGCAACACACACTAACACACCACCACCACGTCAGTGTTACTGCAGTGCTGAGAATGATGCAACACCCAAATAGTACCTGCTCTGTGAGGGTCCATGGGGGTCCTGACCACTGAAGAACAGGGTAAAAGGGGGCTAACAAAGTATCAGAGAAACAGATGGACTACAGTCTGTAACTGCAGAACTACAAAGTGCGTCTATATAGTAAGTGGAGCTGATAAGATGGACAATGAGTGTAGAAACAAGGAGGTGGTCATCATGTTATGCATGATCGGTGTATAACCTCTAGCACAAACAACTGTATTGCACAGATGCGATTCAGCCGATTGAGCAACAGTAAGCTTGCCTAGTCTTGTTTGTAATTTTTACTGTATCATCTATCATTCAGTTTGATTAGTTTTTTCCATTCTTCCTCTTTGATCCATGTGTTATTGTTCTTTGCTTTATGTGCAGGCTTGGTGCAATGGACAACTCATCTGACTACAGATCAGAAGATTCTAGGTTTGACTCTTGGCTTATTTGACTTGTGGATGCATTCATGGGCTGCAGGTCCAGGAACCAGCCTTGTGACCGAAAGGTCGCTGATTTGATCCCTGAGCCAACAGGACATGACTGAAGTGCCCTTGAGCAAGGCACCTAACCCCCAACTGCTCCCTGGGTGCTTCGGGCAGGTGTGCGCATTGTCCCCTAGTGTGTATGCGGTGTTTCTCGGGACGGATGGGTTAAAATGTTTTATTATTTTCCGGTTGTGGGACTAATAAGGGTCACTTAACTAACATTTACCTTTTGCAGCGAGATCTGCATGTGCTAAAAGAACTCACTGATGATGGACTGATAGAGAGGCTAAAACTCCACTGCAAAGGAGCTGAAGAATGTGTTGGTAGTAAAGTCACTGCTGATGACTGTTTAGCATGTGCGCACATGTAGTGACTAACCTTGGGAGTGTTCATTCGTTTCAGCATGCTCATGGTGTGTGTGTGTGTCTGTAGGTCAGTTCTGTTCTCTCTTCTCTCTCTCCTCTCCTGGTCAGTACTGATGGTGTGTGTGTGTCTGTAGGTCAGTTCTGTTCTCTCTTCTCTCTCTCCTCTCCTGGTCAGTACTGATGGTGTGTGTAGGTCAGTTCTGTTCACTCTTTCTCTCTTCTCTCTCTCCTCTCCTGGTCAGTACTGATGGTGTGTGTGTGTCTGTAGGTCAGTTCTGTTCTCTCTTTCTCTCTTCTCTCTCTCCTCTCCTGGTCAGTACTGATGGTGTGTGTCTGTAGGTCAGTTCTGTTCTCTCTTCTCTCTCTCCTCTCCTGGTCAGTACTGATGGTGTGTGTGTGTCTGTAGGTCAGTTCTGTTCTCTCTTCTCTCTCTCCTCTCCTGGTCAGTACTGATGGTGTGTCTGTAGGTCAGTTCTGTTCTCTTTTTCTCTCTTCTCTCTCTCCTCTCCTGGTCAGTACTGATGGTGTGTGTAGGTCAGTTCTGTTCTCTCTTCTCTCTCTCCTCTCCTGGTCAGTACTGATGGTGTGTCTGTAGGTCAGTTCTGTTCACTCTTTCTCTCTTCTCTCTCTCCTCTCCTGGTCAGTACTGATGGTGTGTGTGTGTCTGTAGGTCAGTTCTGTTCTCTCTTCTCTCTCTCCTCTCCTGGTCAGTACTGATTGTGTGTGTGTCTGTAGGTCAGTTCTGTTCTCTCTTTCTCTCTCTCCTCTCCTGGTCAGTACTGATGGTGTGTGTGTGCCTGTAGGTCAGTTCTGTTCTCTCTTTCTTTCTTCTCTCTCTCCTCTCCTGGTCAGTATTGATGGTGTGTCTGTAGGTCAGTTCTGTTCTCTCTTTCTCTCTTCTCTCTCTCCTCTCCTGGTCAGTACTGATGGTGTGTATCGTGTCTGTAGGTCAGTTCTGTTCTCTCTTTCTCTCTTCTCTCTCTCCTCTCCTGGTCAGTACTGATGGTGTGTGTGTGTCTGTAGGTCAGTTCTGTTCTCTCTTTCTCTCTCTTCTCTCTCTCCTCTCCTGGCCAGTACTGATGGTGTGTGTGTGTCTGTAGGTCAGTCATGCAGTCCTGTAGTTCTACTGTCTGTGTCCTGATCTTACTGACAACTACACTCACTACTGGTAAGTACCTCTCCTTTATCACTCCTTTATCCTGCTCTTAAAACATTAATCGTGTGTTTTACTCTCACTTTTGTTTTTGAGAGTTTCTTTAAGCAGTAGCGTCAGAATAAAATAATCTAGTGAATATTCTCATTAGCTAGTTAGACATAGAATGATGTGATATGCAGTAAAGAACAGTAATATGATCCTCAGTGTACAGTTTATTAAAGCTTCACTATGTAAAACTGAAAGCAGCGTCATTACTGAGTGAGGATAACATAAACAGGCTAAAATATGGTGAATGAGCTGCTGTGAGTCGCCCTGTAAAGCCTGAAATAATCAGTTAAAAGTCAGAGGTGTTGGGTCGAGAGTTTTTCACACCATGTCATACGTCTTTGCGTACTAACATCACACACAGCCTCAAAAAGAACGTCCGGCTCAATATTTCGATCTTAAATGATAAAAAAAAAAAACACACTATACTGATAAACTGTTCTCAAACGTCAGATTCATCCCCTCAGGGAAGGGGTCTGAAGCACAACCCACGTTACTAAAAGTTCTTCCACATGTTGGGCCTGCAGTTACGCATTTCCACCAGAGAGGGCCAAATCCCCAAAACATACACAGTGAATCTTTAACTGTACAAACGTATTTAAAGTCTTCACTTCAGGGATGTGATCTGAGTCTTAGGGGTCACATCTCCCAAGTCTGATTTGATATTTATATTTTGTAGAGGGTATGTAGGACATGCTAGGCTGGCAGAACTGAAATCTTTTGTTTTTTCTACTGAGACATACTGTCACTGCTGTTTGTCAGATTTACAACGTAAGTGGATGTAGAGCACAATGGGATAACATGGCCTTTATAAAGCTTTATAAAGCTTTAGAAATACTCATCCATTAAAACATGCCTGGATCTGAATCTGAACCTGTGACTTGATGATGACATTTAGACATTTACTCTTCCAAATTGAGATGTTTCTATTATCCTTATTTGTCTTTATCTCTCTTTTAGATTCTGAGTCAGCAGTTCATTCAGTAAAGGTGAATCTTCATGACTCTGCTACTCTGTCCTGCTCTGAGAGATGCTCTGGTTTGGTCAGATGGACTGTGTACCATAAACCCACTGATGTTCTGGCTGAGTGTGATCAGACTTCATGTAGATCAGTGAAGGAGGGATATCAGATGATCCATGATGAGTACCTGAAGGGGAATCTCTCTCTCACCATCACTGACGCTGATTTCAGTAAGAGAGGCTGGTACACGTGTTGGTGTGACAACAAAGACGTCTGTGATGTGAATCTACAGATTGAGCGTAAGTGTCTGTCTGTTTTCTACAGTTTTTCAAAGAAATCTGCAGGGATATTTTTCCACACCTCTAAAGTTCAGTCTTAGAAGTTAGTTTAGTATTATATCCAAATTGAGGTCTGGACTCTGGGGTGGTCAGTCTGTTCTTCAGCTTCTTTGTTTGATGTGTCCGTCTCCTTTTCTCAGTGAGGTTCTTCTTGATCAGCTACACATCCTTTCAGACCCACAGCGCTGAGTCGTCTTCTCACAGTGGAAGGATGGACAGAAACACCTGTGGATGTTTTCAGATCTGAAGCAGCTTGATTTTCTCCTCTCTCTCAGAGATCAAAGCTTTAAGTGCTGTGTGGAGGAGGGGGCATGGCCAAGCGCCGAATGCAGGATGGAGAAGTAGCTGATGATATTCACCTGTGCCTTCTTTCCACCAGCCTACTTATAGTCATCTCTTCCCTCAGCAGGTGGCAGAGCCCAGAGAGAGAAGGAGACCCGTGAAGGTGAGAGAGCTGAGCCAAGGAGAGCTAAGCTGAGCTGAACTAAAGAAAAGAAAAAAAGGACTGAAAAGTCCCAGCGAGAGTCTTGTCTTAATTTGTCTGTGGGCTGAAAAGCCAAGTGGTTTTTGTGTTGTGTATAAATAAACCAGTTCTCCATCTCCACAACTGCCCCCGGCGTCCTCCCTCCACCCACTGGTGCCGAAACCCGGGAGGATTGGACAAACGTCACCATGGAGTCCTGACCACTTGGAGAGATAGTCTATTAGATAGCTTGTTGACAGCCACCAGTACTTCAACTCCGGCTACCATCTCCATCTCGAAGATGAGTCCACAAGAAGACCCAGAAGCGTTCGTAGAGCTCTTTGAGAGAGCGGCGGAAGACTGGGGGTTGCCGAAAAAGGACTGGGCCATCCTACTGCTGCCCCTGCTCACCGGGGAAGCCAAGCTTGCGGCCCAACAGCTCCCCCACTCAATCGCAGCTGGAGTTCTACGAGCTGAAAAAGGCCGTCCTCCAGAGGGTTGGTCGAACTCTGGAGCAACACCGTCAGCGCTTCCACACTACGCTGAGCTGAACTAAAGAAAAGGAAGAAAGGACTGAAAAGTCCCAGCGAGAGTTTTGTCTTAATTTGTCTGTGGGCTGAAAAGCAGAGTGATTTTTGTGTTGTGTATAAATAAACCAGTTCCAGTCTCCACAACTGCCCCCAGCGTCCTTAAAGTTGTTACATGCTGTTTATCTGATGGGGGCAGTTTTGGTGTCTTCCAGGTCTTCCAGATGGTTTTTAGGAGCCTCATTGTAATAATTTTTCAACTTCAGTTTTGTTAATACATGTTTCACTTTGATGATCTCCTACCTTCTGCAAGTGGATTATCTATCTAATTATATCTATTCTCACTACATATTCCTGAAAAATGAATAACTATATTGTAAATTAAATAAATGAAGTTTTAACTTTTGCTCAGTGCTTTGATTTGCACACAATTCATCAAGTTTCTGTTTGTTTTTTTTTCTCTTCAGCCTTGAATACTCCCGTTCAGATAAAGCCTGGTGAATCTCTGGTGCTGAAGTTGGACATATTAGATCCAGTGAAGGTTATTTATAACAGCACTGATGCAGCTGGACCATCCAGTGGTCAGATATGTACAGTGGATGGACGCTCAACACAATGTAAACCTGAATATAAACAGAAAATGGCACTGTTCTCTGCTCTTGAGCTGAGAGGAACGACGCCATCTGACAGTGGAGATTATATTATAATGGACATCAGGAATGAAGAGGTCATTCACATCTACACAGTGACCATCAAAGGTATGTATTTTTCCAGCTTTAGCTGTGTTTGTTATTGAGCTTGTAGGATGAAAGTGGATGAAAGTGGAGTGTGTAAATATATTAAAGTCTCTCTGTGTGCTTTAATGGTGGTAATGGTGGTGGTAACTCACTATATGGCAAATCTGTGTGTTCTGTAGATGACCAGCCATGTCCATGCAGAGATCAGAGAGCTGTTGTACCAGCATGGATGTTTGCTCTGACGATGGTTGCACTAGTAATTGTGTGTTTGGTATCAGTGGTGAGGAGTTTGCGAAAGAGGAGAGAAACTGAACGGCACTGAATCATAACTGCAGGGAAAATCGAGTTGAACTAAAAAAAAACTGCAACGTTCAACTTCTGTTAAAAATGATGAAAAAGAAATGAGTTATTTGCTGCTTGTATTCAGGAAACCTGCAAGATCCAATCCAAGATCTAAGACCAATTATCCAATCAGCCAATCACATGGCAGTATGAGTCTAGAGGTTCATTTAGGATTCCCCCCAAACATCATGGAAGAAGAAATTGGGATCTAAATGACAATCAGAACAGGGAGAAGCAGCGAAAGGAGGACAAGAACAGGGAGAAGGAGTAAAGAAGGATCGGACAGGGAGAAGGAGCTAAAGGAGGCTCAGAACAGGGAGAAGGAGTGAAAAGAGGGTCAGAACAGGGAGAAGGAGCTAAAGGAGGATCAGGACAAGGAGAAGGAAAGGAAGGAGGATCAGGACAGGGAGAAGGAGCGAAATGAGGATCAGAACAGGGAGAAGGAGTGAAAGGAGGATCAGAACAGGGAGAAGGAGCGAAAGGAGGATCAGAACAGGGAGAAGGAGTGGAAGGAGGATCAGAACAGCGAAAGGAGTGAAAGGAGGATCAGGACAGGGAAAAGGAGTGGAAGGAGGATCAGAACAGCGAAAGGAACGAAAGGAGGATCAGAACAGGGAGAAGGAGCGAAAGGAGGATCAGAACAGGGAGAAGGAGCGAAAGGAGGATCAGGACAGGGAGAAGGATTGGAAGGAGGATCAGAACAGCGAAAGGAGCGAAAGAGGATCAGAACAGGGAGAAGGAGCGAAAGGAGGATCAGAACAGGGAGAAGGAGCTAAAGGAGGATCAGGACAGGGAGAAGGAGTGGAAGGAGGATCAGAACAGAGAAAGGAGTGAAGGAGGATCAAATCAGGGAGAAGGAGTGAAGGAGGATAAGGACAGGGAGAAGGAGTGAAGGGAGGATCAGAACAGGGAGAAGGAGTGAAGGAGGATAAGAACAGGGAGAAGGAGTGAAGGGAGGATCAGAACAGGGAGAAGGAGTGAAGGAGGATCAGAACAGGGAGAAGGAGTGAAGGGAGGATCAGAACAGAGAGAAGGAGTGAAGGAGGATCAGAACAGGGTGAAGGAGTGAAGGGAGGATCAGAACAGGGAGAAGGAGTGAAGGAGGATCAGAACAGAGAAAGGAGTGAAGGAGGATCAGATCAGGGAGAAGGAGTGAAGGGAGGATCAGGACAGGGAGAAGGAGTGAAGGAGGATCAGAACAGGGAGAAGGAGTGAAGGAGGATCAGAACAGGGAGAAGGAGTGAAGGAGGATCAGACAGGGTAGAAGGAGTGAAGGAGGATCAGAACAGGGAGAAGGAGTGAAGGAGGATCAGAACAGGGAGAAGGAGTGAAGGAGGATCAGAACAGGGAGAAGGAGTGAAGGAGGATCAGAACAGGATCTGCTCCTTCACTCCACTCTTCTGCTCTGAGCTAAATGACTGTTCCTGAGTGTTACACAGTGTTAAAGCTGCATGTTGAAGGTGTTCATTCTGTCACTATGTTAGTAACTCAGCTCTGCCCTTTACAGAACAGCTTAGATTCTGTCTTTGTGATGAACATTAAAGTAGCTACATTAGCGCTGCATGTTCTGTAGCTGAACTCTACCTGTCTGCATGTTGTAATCCTCTCATTAGCATGTTTCAGTATAATGGACTGTGATATGCTCCGGTTTATATGACGTACAAAACTGACTACATAACACCTCAGAAATCAGTGTTTACTGATAACGTCTGTTTTCAGTAAAAAATACTGATGGATAACACAAATATTCATCAGTACAACTATAATGAGCCGCACAGGAGGAGTTACCCTTTAAAAAGAACTCATTTTGGGTTCAGGGTAACCAAACATTAATTAATCTTAAAACATACTTAAACCAAATAAAGAAACAAGATTACCTCCTGAGGCTGAATCCTCAAAACGGAAGAAAAGGTTAGAGATGAAGATGAGACATCATGAAGAAGAGCACTTACCTATCTCAGTTTTTCCTGACCCACTGATATGGAGAAAAATTCTCATGCTGTTCTTAAGCAGTGTGCACTGATCTGAATATCTGAAAATATTTTATTTGTACTGTTTTATGAAAATGTTGTGCTCTTCATGCTAATTGGACTGAAGTACTTTATCTGTCCTCTGTGCACCACGACCAGCACAGAGCATATTTGTGTATATTTGAGCTCATTTCCATGCATAATGCAGTCACTAGTCTGTGGGTCAGAGGGAGACACTTTGTTTTTGATAAATCTGTGACACTACATTGTTTGTGTTTAATGCATTTATGAGAATGTTAAAGAATCTCTGATTGATTTGTGTTCATGCTGTACTGCTGTAAACCTTGGTGCTAAGAAGGACCTGCTGTGAGTCAGAACTGATGCTGTAGTTCTGATTTGAATGTTTGCATGTATGTTTTATGCATGATTATGATGAAATGCTGCTTTGCTACCTCTCTTTTACACACAATCCAATTTACTCTTATTTACTTTGTGTATTCATCTTTTGTTAATTGGCTTTAGAAAATTATTTTAATCATAATATAAAAAATCAATTATATTCAGCAATGCTCACATTTAGATTAAGACTCATAATGCAGTTAAAAATGACACCAAATACGCTTAAATAACAATAAATATTAAAATAGCTGAACTCACATGTTCATCTGACACATTTTTCTCTTCTTTTGAGAACATCTCATTTCTTTTTAAAGACTTTCTTCTCTCGTGTCACTGCTGTGAGGATACTTCTGACTTTCTTTTGTTTAATAAAACTCAGTTTAATCTGAGATTCTGTGTTTTATTACTGAGAAAGATGTTGAGGGTTTTATGAGCTGATATTAATCTTCACCATAAACACTTAGACACTAAACAGAGCTCTGCTTTTGTAATAAGCTCTGTAGCTGAAGGATGCTAATCAGGATGCTATCAGAGCTTCATCAGGGCATTCAGCCATGAAAAAACATAGTAAAAGGTCTATTTAAACAGAAACGGTGGTTCCATGAACACATTCACTCCATTCTTGGCATCCTTTTCGAAGAATAGTCAGATCCTGATCAAATGGGTCTAAATACGGTACATTAATTTAAAAATGTCTTCTAATGTCTTCAGTAGTTGTGTACACCGAGCTACAGCAGCGCTTTTGTAGAGACTTTATTAGAATCCACTGTGTGCTGCCTTTTTAATACGGTGGGGTTTATATACACGCCGCTGATTGGGTAACACCTCTGGCACACTCATCAAATGAGAGAATACGTACCACAAAGCCTGTTACACACCACCACTCACCGTTTCATACAATTTAGACAAAACATATGAGAGACTGAATGTACTCCAACTTTATGAGTGGAGCTCCAACCCCAGTGTAATTTGCTGGGCCCTATGCAACCTACATACTGAGCGCAACTACTCCATATTCCATTTAAAGACATAATACACTGCGTTTTTGTTCTAAGCTACTGACTCCGCCCACAAACAAACAATACAGAACACAGCTAGTGTCATACACTGAAGTTTAAATATGATATTTTAATAGAATAGTCACTATTTTATTAATCAAATTATAAATCACATTATTCTACCTTCCTAAAACACTAAGATGTTTTGTTTATTTTACATTTTATTCTTTTAGGTGGTCATAATTGTAACACTATAAAGTTTGGTCAGTAGGGGGGGCAGTGCACTCACCCCTTCACCTCAAACTCAGGCAAGCAGCACAACCATTGGCTCACAAGCTGCTGAATGCTGTCTTTTTATTGGCTCCCTACAAAACATAAAGGAAAACACCCATAAAGACATTATTATTATGAGTAGTACTAGTAGGCCTAGTATTAACAATGTATAGCACTGAGGGTAAAGATGTGAACCAAAGCATGAACACATTTTCATCATCTTTCATGCTGAAAGAGAAACACTTCCAGAATAACCACCTGAGTTTAATACAAATGTGTTGTGTATGTACAATGTACATTAACTGTAGATGTTTATAGGTTTGATAATTAAATCAGGGTAAGATAAATATGCTTAATTACATTTAAATTGGAATTAGCTGTTGGTTATAAAAAGCCAAACTGAAGCTAAAATAAGTTACTGTGCTGTTTAAGACCAGCAGGTGGTGCTGTTACCCAAGCTATTGTTAAACCTGTGGCAGAACATTATTAAAGACCCTGTTCAATATAAACAGTGTACTGAAGAGTGATTGGGCTATATAGCCATCCTTACTTGTAGTTCAGTAGTTCATAGAATTATGGGTAGTGTAGTCCCTCTTACAGTAAAAGTTAATGTGACTCTAATAAAAAATACAGGTGGTGAAGTCACTTATTCTAACTTCTGATCCTGAATAATCCTGGAGTTCCATATGAGCAGTAATCACTGTGTTAGAACTACAGAACGGGCTGAGGTTTCCTGCATTTTATACATTTTATGCAGTTTAATGAGCTTAAATCCCAACATTTAATCCTGTCAGCAGCTCCGCAGCTCTTCTGTTTAGGTTTTAACAGAGAATTTGTAGAGAGGAGAGGAGAGGAGTAATACCAACCAATCAGCACTCAGTAGCAGTAATGTTAACCAATCAGCACTCAGTATCAGTAATGTTAACCAATCAGCACTCAGTAGCAGTAATGTTAACCAATCAGCTCTCAGTAGCAGTAATGCTAAATAATCAGTGCTCAGTATCAGTAATGCTAACCAACCAGCAGTCAGTAGCAGTAATGCTAATCAACCACCATTCGGTGGTAACAATGTTTACCAATCAGCATTCAGTAGCATTATTGTTAACCAATCAGCACTCAGTAGCAGTAATGTTAACCAATCAGCACTCAGTATCAGTAATGCTAACCAATCAGCATTCAGTATCAGTAATGTTAACCAATCAGCTCTCAGTAGCAGTAATGCCAACCAATTAGCGCTCAGCAGCAGTAATGCTAACATTCTGCTTCCCGAAGTCCGTTTGCTGTAGTAAATCTAAATTCTAAATTTTAATTATAATAAGAAACAGAAGGTTTTCTTTGCTTTTTGGTTTTTAGAGAAATACATCCGTCTACATTCCAAAATTAAAAGAAAGGGAAGAAAAGTGTAAAAGAAGGTTCTGGGCACATAATTAGAAATATGTTTAACTTTCTGTTTTTAGCCATCTATCTGCTAACACCCACATTTACTGAGGACTCTCTCGCTGGCACCCTCTGGCGTTCAGCCGTCCTGTTTTTGATATAAGGGCTGTAGTTTAAACTGAAAGTACACAGTTCCCCATTTGACAGACGTCTCTGAACAGTCTAAGTGACAGGATGAGCTTCTCATGGTGCGGAATTTGAAAATTTACCACGAACAGTACAGTGAGTACATAAACTTTACAGCAATGAGCTCTGACTCTCAGCGCGCTGATTCAGCTGTGCAGCATCTTCTGACTTAGACTATCCAAATAATTAAAAAAAAAAATGTGTAGGACCCCCGCCCCCAAGGGAGGACCCCCACGGTAAGCACCACTAAATATTTCCTAGCTTTTTATTAATAAAGTGTATTGAACACTTCTACAGAGCGCAGGTTTCCCAGCACTCTCAAACACTGTGATGATGATTATGATGATAATGAATTGTGACTGAGCTCATCAGGTCTTAGAAACCATAATGAGGTCCGGCATTATGGGCTCATGTAGTGACCAATAAACAATTTAATATCCCAATGAACCCACAGGGCTTTAGAAACGCTTTTATAGCGGCCCGCTTTGAAGTGGTTCATATGAGTGTGTATAAAAGCATTCAGAGTGTTTCTCTCTTCTCTCTCTCCTCTCCTGGTCAGTACTGATAGTGTGTGTGTCTGTAGGTCAGTTCTGTTCT